GTCTGCGCCCTGCCCACCCATGGGGATAACGGGTGACTCGATATTACACAAGCGTAGTAATAGTGACCACTTGTGGCGAAATCAATCACAGTTCGGAGGTGGGGTCGCGACCAGCGATAACTAGTCGGTGCGTACCGGTTCCGCGTACCAAGACGTATCCTATATTTGCATGCTGCATGTTTATCATAATATAACTGACTGTCACCATCTTTTTTGGCGATTGCTAAGGGTGACACATACAGACACGCGACCCGTGCTTTGAGAATTTTATACGCAGGATAAAATCAAGTATGCAAGCCAACCTCTAGAAATGTTGTGGAATGTGTCAGGATAGTGAAGTTAGAGGTCCTGTGTTGTGTAAACGATTTGTTATAACAGAACTTTTACTCTGTTTTGGCTATAGACAAGCAGTTTAATGATATGAATGTTTAATGACTTCGGGGCCCAGCTGCCAAGGTATTGATTCGGTGCCAGGGGTCGTGGGTTCGACTCCGACACGGAACAAGTGTTTCTGTGACCCGCATATAATTGTTCCGGATCTGGGTGTTTGTTCCCAAGTTTTTAGACCAGCCTGACGTCAGGCTGGTCTAAAAAACCTAGCCAAAACCACTTACAACATGATTCACATGTCGTGCCGGCCCCACCCAGCTGGGATAAGGAGGATGATAATGAATTTTTACTTTTAGTGCTTTTCTCTGCATTGATGACAGTTAAAATGTGTAGATCAATTATCGAAATTTTTTTCAACTCTGTAAGGACTCTGCGCGGCTAGACGCTCTAGCCACAAAGCTAAGCGGTCGATATCTTACTGTTTAGGTTATTTTCTGATTATTCTTTAGGCTATAGTCGTATCGAGTTTTATCTATTTTCAATCTAATATCGAGATAAGAAATCATCTCCAGAATAATTTGACCTTATTATTCTGGAGATGATTTCTTATCTCGTATATTTGCGATTATTATAGTGTATTTTAGATATCACATCGTTTGCATGGCAATTTTTTGTATACAGAGAATATTTGCAGAAGCGGAAGTATTATGTAAAAACTTTATTTTCTTAACACATTTCTATCCACGAATCCAAACAACTTAAGCACTTTACTATTACACGCATTATTTTCAAAGTTTCGTCGTATGTTATTTCAATCATATTTTCATACAGGTATTGATTCGAATTAAGAACCATCTTGAAATGCAAATGAAAATTCTGTGTGCGGGACAAGCAGGTTAAAGGAATAAACAACATTAACAATATCAATGTCACTCGTTTTAATTGACATAATTAAGTTAATTTGTCTTCGTATAATTACCTAATGACAAGTTGATTTAATCTTTATGAAACGGTCCCGTAGTTAATCATTTAGATTATTATAAAACAATTTGAAAATGACCCCATGAACGGTATTCATTACCATGACATATTTCGGTTATTATATTATCGTTCTGTCAATTTTTATTTCCTTATCTTAAAACATGTAAAATTGATATTTTCGTCACTATGTTTTTCGTACCATATTTGAAAATAAAATACTCAAAAAAAGTAAGTGGCCCATGAGGGGATCGAACCCGCGACCTTCGCGTTATTAGCACGACGCTCTAACCAACTGAGCTAATGGGCCGTTGAGGTTGCTGACTAAATTAGTGGATTAGTTTCTACAAAGCAACAATATTGTAATGTTTTCATAAATGTGCTTACATGATTGTAATACTTTATACATTGTTATGAAAAGATATGTCATACGATTAAGTGTATCGCAATTAACTTCTTAACCTGCAGTAGGTATTAATTAAAGAGGAGCTTAAGTTGAGATTTACATTTATTTAAATCTTGCATTAGTATCATAGTGATATGTTATTATATGAAATGATATGACATCCTTATTTATGTGAGTGACGTAAAATAATTATTAATATCTTTGATTTACGATTTAATCAGACAGCTTAAATAACAGGCATTTTCTCCGACGTATTTTAGTCAAGTTATTACTAAATAAGTTTTAGTATGGAACATTCTTTTCATAAGTTCTTACCACTATTAATAACTCTTTTGTATTCCCGTGTTGATAAATTTAATACTTGTTTCCTATGTCGTAGGTACTTATACATATGTATATAAAATATTTCATACGCATGTTTTTACTACATATCTTATCACATTTCAGAATGAATACTCACGTTATTACGAAAGAAATTAATGCGTAAAATTAAAAATATAAAATGATAGTAACATTTTGTTTTACGAACTTTATCGGGTTTTATTTTGTTTTGTAAATAAACGACGTTTTGAAAAGTATAATTAAAATCACAAGACTGGGGATTGAGTTAACCATGTATTTACATAATTTTGACAAATCATAGCAAAAAAGGGATTGAAATTAGTATTTATAATAATTTTAGTTGTACATTTCATATATATACATATACGATAAAAGGAAATATCGAGACAGAATTAGAATTTCAATTAAGTTATTAAAAGACATTTGAAGTTTTTGTATTATTACAATCGTAGTCGCTTTCACCATCGATCCCTAACTTTAAGGGACACAAAAAAAATTAAGTGCCAGTTTAGTTTTCACCACCGCTTAAGTGTCACCTAAAGTCTACAGCGTGTTACTTAAGCGGCGGTGAAAATTTAATTAGCACTTAAATTTTTTTAGGCGTCCCTTAAAGTTAGGGATCGATGGTGGAAACGGCACAAGATTTATTAGAAAATTATTCTTTGGGAACGAAGTTCCTTATCGCGCGTTGTGAAAGGGGGAAAAAATTCTCACGAAAAGTTGTAACGACACTTTTTGCTATAGTAAGCTATTGTAAGCTGTGCGGCGAGCGCATGTTTCTCTGTCTGTTGTTTGTCTGTCAGTCAGACAAACATGACAGTTTCTAGAGGAAGTATTTGATTTAAGAATTAACAATAATCCAGCAGAATCAACGACAAAATATAACACTACCATTGATGCAGTTTTTGCAAGACATTTAAATAAAATAGAATCCCAAACATATGTTTCCTACTTCAGTTACCAATTATTACTAAAATTGAGCCTACTGATTAAGTTTATATTACATTATATTTGTTAATAATAAAAAAATATTATTATAACTTAAAAAAAAAAAAAAAATTATTACAATTGCTTCACTAATTAATCGAAAGGAACTTCGTTCCATCCGGGTGTCCCTTGACACCTTTCAATGTTTGTTTTTTTTCACATAGGAAAGTTAAAAAAAAAAGTTATTCGTGCACCGGCAGCGAATACACAGGAACCATAACCTCGGTCGCTAAGCGATAACCCGGCCATATCGAAATCACCCCAACAGTCCTATCCGCTAGTATGGTTCACGTTGTTATAATAGACACTTCGGATGGCAGGGTTATCGCGAGATGATTCCCATGAGGTTATTTGTATTTTCGCTCTGATTATTAAATGCGCGAACGAATTTAAAGGTCGGTCGGCTGTTCCTGTATACATATTCGTCGCGTAGTAATCGTTATCTGAGTTTCGTTTCGTATGACGGAGGTTTTACACAAAATTATGAAATATGTTACAATGGAACTTGATTTTCCTTACAAATACCATCGGATACTTATAGTTCGAATTTATCCACGCAATATAAATCATGTCATTATCCATTATGAATTCCGTGTAAAGAGGTTTTATTTAACTTGTTAACCGATCTCGTTTCTTTACTCTGTTGGAACTGGCAGGTAACTTTCTTTAACAAAATGTCTTATTTCTAAGCTTTTTTCACTATTCCAATTTTAAAATTCCAACGTATAACTGTCAGCTGAACAAGGTAACTTAATTTTTCTTAGTTTCCCAATTTTCCAAAGAGAATGTAATCACTACGTTTACGTTTGAATTTTCTAGCACTAGTTCAGGGGTCCGACTTTTGCAATTGAAAATATTTTTTATTTGTCAAGTTAAAAGTATCTAATCTATAATACGAATGGAATATTTTTAGGAGGTAAGTATTATATATTATTCTATATATTATTCTATATATAGTCTATTTTGAACAGGTTGCGGCTGATGATGATGATGAAGTATTATTAGATAAAACTACTTATTTCATTTTTATGTTTATAATTTGTTAAGGGAAGGTATTACGGATAGATGTTTTTGTAATTACGTTGTTATTGCCAAAAAAGACATTTTATTGTTTTGTGAGTGTGTGCGTGTGTGCGTGTGCGTGTGTGTGTGTGTGTGTGTGTGTGTGTGTGTGTGTGTGTGTGTGTGTGTGTGTGTGTGTGTGTGTGTGTGTGTGTGTGTGTGTGTGTGTGTGTGTGTGTGTGTGTGTGCGTGCGTGCGTGCGTGCTAGCGTGCGTGCGTGCGTGCGTGCGTGCGTGTGTGTGTGTGTGTGTGTGTGTGTGTGGGTGCGCGCGCGTGTGTGTGTGTAATTATTTGACTATGCGCGTAAAACAATCATTTCAAAATGTCTTTAAACGCAATATTTTTCTTTCTTTAAAAAAAGAAATTAGGACTTACTTGTGTATCCTGTGTTGTAATGACGTTTTACAAGCATACATTTCGCGTGGATCAACACCCAGATGCGAAATATCTGTGGTTCACACCAATAATAGTCCCGTGTGGGAATCGAACCCACGACCGCCGATCCCAAAGCTAATACCTTGGCAACTTCGCCACGGAGTCATCAAGAGTCATTGGCTGTGTTTTGAGAAATAAGCATTGTCAGGTTATTATTGTTTACTTGTGATAAATGTATGTCTGTTATGTATAACATACCAATAAACAGACAATGTAATGTCGGTTCGCGATCACCTAATCGAGTGTTATCAGCAAAAGTGCATGTGGCAGGGCTATTTAAGTTTATTTACGCACAATCTGAACCGTAGTAGGGTATTCAGATCTGATATTGCGTAAGTCATCTCACATCCGATACCCTCTGACCCCTGGTCGTGCAGCGGAGGTTTGAAGTTTAGATGATTTATTGTTAAGGAACAACTGGTTGGTTTTAATGTCAATGTTTGTTAGTTATTTTAGTTTGATGCCGACTGAGGCAGTAGTTCCGCACAGAATAACAGATGCTGCAGACCTGCTAATAGCCAATGAGACAGTTGCCCCCTGCTTCTGGTCTTCTCCGAGTCCGTCCGCTTCCATTTTGGAACTGGTCTCATCTCTAACCGGTCTAGTAGGCAGCGTTATTGCTATCGAAAATCCGTTAGCAAATATTACAGATTAAAATTTCCATTGTGAGTCGAGATCCGAAAACAGTTTGTAACCTAGTAAAACGGCCAAATGCACAGGGAACCTAGACGTTGTCGCGTCTTTTTTTTTTAGGCTGGAAGAGCCACTATTGGCCTTAGGGGCCTCTACAGCTCCGACGGACTTGAGGTGACCTGGCGCTCGACGCGCCCAGCTTGAACCTCGGATTTATTTGTAAATGCGTTGATGACGAGGCCCGTGCCATCCACGCGCCGCTGTTTCCACACGTGCCCCGTACAGCGCGGAATTTTCCGACGACGCGCCCGAAAACCCGTCGGAGCGTTCGTACACAGTACGAAAACAAAAGGAGCCGTGACCCAACATAACAGACGCGTTATCACTTATTGACATTCGCCAATCTCCCGTGGCAGGAGGCATTTGCGTAAGCGCCGATCGCTTATCGCCGTCCGCCGCGCGAAGAGCCCCCGTCCCGAGACAACCGGACTTGGGGAGGGGTCAACGGATGCCGGCGGCTTTATCAATGGAAGAGTCAACGTTGTGGCTCGGCGGCACGCCAGCCGTCAGTCGGCGGTGGACCGTCGCCGGCTCAACATCACTGGAAGGGGATTTTTGCAACTTTTCTTTTGCATTTTCTAAAAATCTGCCCTATACAGTGTTGATATCGATTACTTACGCATTCTGTTATTTAGTTTAAAGTCAATTACTGAGTATGAAAGGAAAGGTCATATAAAAGGTAAAAACACATAAATATGAATTAAATGCACATCAATGTTCTCAAAAAAACTATCATAAGAAAAAGTCATCATAAAAGATGTTATACAGCTTCGTTAATCGCTTTTGAGAGTCACTATGTATATGTACAAAGAAATAATTTTATTATCGTATTTACTCTAATTAACGCGTGTTTACAACTCGGTGATAAATCAACTCGCGTCACAATACAAGTGTAATACATAATTATGTACATACGTAATATCCACATTATATTTCGAACAAATACAATTGTAAATTTGATATTCTTTGTTTTTTTATAACAATAGCCAAGCTACGCTCTAGAAGTTGCGTTTTATTAATAAAAAATACTCCTTCTATTAATTTAAATTAAATTAACAAAACAATACGAATTAAACTTTTGGCTTTAAGATGTTCTGACAATAAATATCTTTCGCGGCTTCTATCACGAAATGTTCGAAATCCTTTTCTATTTGACATCTTTGATGAGCCAAAACGATATCGCCATTTTTTTAATCAGCACTTCATCATTTTGATACTATTTAGTATTTCACCTAAACTTCAAACTAGGGCGCAACTAATCTAGACAACTAGCAAGCCTAACAACGAACTCTACTGATAATAGCGCGAAACAATAAAAATGTTCACGTCGTAAATGTGTGAATGCTCTGTTATTCAACATGGCCGCCTCTGTATCTGAGCAAAACAAAGCCACGCGGGCCGCGCGTGGCCACCGCGCGACTACGCTTTAAAAATAGAATGCACTGTGCTAAAATCGACGACCAGCGATACTGGGTACACCCTGCCCCCGTCGGTTTTTAGACTGCTCAGTGGCGCCGGGGGGGGGGGAGATGCGGGTAACGGGGGTCAAGGTGAGTTGGTTGCCGAGGCTCGCCTCCGTGCGTGCGAAGGACCACGCCCTGCTGTTGCGTCTCGTGTTCCGAATTCGAAATAGTTGGCAACGTACAAACGGTGATGGTCCAATCTGGCCTACAAACACGAAGCTGTGTGTCTTACATTAGTTTTTTTTGTTTCGTGCCAGTTACAGGAAAATTTATTTTTCTCACCAGTTACTATTATTTCATTTATTTTACTAATAGCGTACGAAGATATAGATCGTATAATTTGTTTTTAAGTAAAAACGTTATTTATTAGGAACAAGGCGTATACATACGTACAAACAAGTATCGGATGGTTTGTATTGATTAAATTAGCATACGTTTTTCGGCTTACTGTACTTAATATACGTTAAACAAATAACACAGCAACGATCAAAACAACATTGTTTTTTGCTTTTTAATTAGTTACCTACTGTTGTAAAATAAAGTATTTGTTTTGAGATGTTTAATTAATCAGTGGAAATATCTACTTATTCTTCTTATATAAAGATTATTATTCACATAACTCTTTCAGTATACATATTTCGCATCCAAAGTGAAACCTTTGCACATGACCATTTTCAGAGACATTTTATTTATGAGTCGATAAATCTAAAATGTTGTAAGACCCTAATAAGGTGACTTTAGTGGGAGATGAATAGTAATCTGTCATATTTTGAGAGTTATAAATGTATGATGCTACTTCTTTATAATCATTATTATTCAAGTGTATTAGTTGTTTTACATTGCAATAAGCTACGTCCCGAGCTCTTATTTTGAGTGTTACGAACATGTTGGTTGGATTAGTCTATCGTATTTACTATAATCTACTTATATGTCACCAAATTTGCAAATGGTGGTAAGGCAAGCTTACTGACGCACGAAACTGGGTTTTGAACCATGGCCTTTGCCATATCGACTTCCTAATGGCAGTAAAAGGCAAAATTTAACTTTAGCTTATCATCTTTAAAGCGTCTTTTGTTTCTTCACGAAACAATAAGACTGCTATAGGCCCCGATGTTCAGCGGCGTCCCAACTACCATTGCGACCTTGAAGATCTACTGTAGTTTTCCCTTCCAAAACATTGCCCCATAACTGTGGGATAAAATAGAAAACTATGTTGAAAGGTCGTTTTATTATACAAATTATTTATACAAAAACTAAGAACGATTTAATTTGCACTACGTTTGTGTGAGGTATCTGAGAAATCTCCTTTGAAAGGCTTTCAATTCAATCATTTAACGATAGAAGAACTATCTATCGTTATGACTTGATTAACTTTATAGAATAGCTTTGTACTAAACTTGTGTAGCTCAGTAGCTTTACTAAAAACTGTTTACTATAAACAGTCCTTTGGAGTTCAAAGAAACAGACGTGTGATGAAAACAAACCAATGAAAACTTCCAACTTCTATGAAGCTGTTTTGCCAAACATCGCTTCCGGCTCTGGGATTGATGTGCCTGTTCTTCCGCGAGATTTCGCGGAACAACACCCCTTACGTTTCTGCGTTTAACAGCGGCGCTCAGAGACGTCAGTTAATACTATTAGATTCAGATGAAATACTAATTGACTTCTCTGGGTGCAGTTGTGTTAATTACAACTGAGTTCAGACTGAACTGGAGATTACGGTGAGTTGTTGCATAGTTCCGTATGGCTGTAATGTTTTTTAATTACAGATACCATAAACGCGCACCCATCTTCCTTCCTCGCTTTATTGGGTAACCTTTTTTAACCACAGCAAAAGTTTCAGTACAGGCAACAGTTTCTACGCAATGGTCTGAGTTGTTTTCCTAGCTGCTATTCACGTACCCGAATAAACGTTTCTTCTTCTTCTTCTTCTACCCTAATACAAAAAATCCAAGCTTCCATTATCAGAAGTTGTAAATTTCTTTTTTCTCACCTTAGTCATAAGTCGAAGTAATCGTTATCGTTACAAGTTTTAATAATATCTGGTGGTTTGTTTGAAGGCGGTTAGAATTAGAGTTGTTTAGAATAAGCATTCGACGGCGTCGTTGTGTGGCATCTAGGGTCACTGACGAATATAGCTACTGAATTATAGTACAGAGATACTGTCCGGTTGGGAGGAAAGCTAGAGAAACGATTTCACATCTGGTCAACAGCTGTTATTTTTTAGTACAGTGTTTTCTGTCACCGACCAAGAAAATGTTTTGAACACGGCTTTTAATCATTATATTGCTTTATCAATAATATTTAATAATTATATCAACATTTAATAATTACATCACAAGAGCATTTAATGTTAGATCTTTTCTAACATTAAATGCTCTTGTGATCTATTAATGGGATCACCGACGCAACGAGTAGGACTTGGATTGAGGGATTGAGTGTTTTCATCTTTTCACATAGTACGTAAATAATTAAACAAAAATAATGTTGTTCCGAGGATAATTAAAGAATGCGCAACAAGCGACAATTCATAACTGGGGATACTGCGACCAAGATGGATACATATCTACGTGTCAATGACGGCCAGCATTGTTTCGTCGAGCGTAGCGAACATCTGACTATGGACGTGCTTGTAAAAAAAACCGGTACGCAGAAGGTAAATCGGTAAGGACGGATGCAGGCCGGTGGCTTGGGCACGTCCGCCGATCACGCAGCAGAGGCGTGCGCCCTGACGTCATCCCACGTCATTTGCCGACGGGCGCGGCGTAACCGTGCGATTATGGTTCTTATATGTCACAGAATAAAGGCTAACGGATCGTACGCTTGTGAAATGCACCCGCCGTAGTTTTCCATTCACTTTGCGCAAGTGCACCGAAACGGTATCGGTGGCAGCGACGAGATGATTATGTCAAAACCCACGGGAAGCTTTGGAATATCGAACGAAATTGAAAACCGAATAGGGAACGAAATTCGAATTTGGAACGATTTGTGTGAGTAAGCTTAGTAAAAGGAAGGACGGAGTGAACGAATGCTGTGATTTTATCGCGGTGTAAACACGTTACACGACGCTATCAGAGCGACCGAGGGTATATAAGTGATTGTAACGGCGAAACGGCGCTCAGTGCGGATCGCACGGGCAGACTAAGAACATCTTCTGAATGCAAACAAAATAAATCAACACAGGCCTGGGGAAACACGATTTCCTATTGCAGTGTTTAACTCTCCGGGAGAGTGCTTACAAATAGATCAATTACAACACGTACGTGAAACAGGCCTTTCCTTAATCATTAAACATTCCTGATGTGAATCATCCGAAGGGTTACCCTGATGACGATAAATTGGAACAATTGATTATCGACAAAGATAATGTTGTAAACAAACAATTGGGTAATTGACACATCGATACTCCGATTAATCGTTATGCAAACAAACAAACGTGCGAAAAACTTTAGAGATTATCTCAAATCATAATGTTCAAGGATCTTCCCGATAAAAGTTATTTGTCAATCGAGATATTTGTTAAATAGGTCAGGCTTGACGGAACGCGTGAAATCGGACGTCAGGGTTATTGCATTGTTTATCGTTTGGAATAATTTTCCGATCAATGAATTAGACTTAACAACTTCGTTACGCCTTTACCGACTAACTGACCTTTCCCTACTGTATGCATAATCATAGGAACCTCATTATTGAATACACTACGTTTTAAATTGCATAACTTTAGAGACCATGCGTGACAAAGTTGAATTTTTTATTATTTACTTACATTAAAGTTTTTGTAGGAGTATTCATTAGGTACTTGTATTGTTTGCGGCATATTAATTATTTACCTGTAATATGACTTTAGATATTATAAGATACCATAAGATTATGCATTAGACGTGTATCTATGACACAGGAAGAAACTACATGCCTTATCCGTCCTGAATTATGTTAGGGAATCATTTCGTTATTAAAAGTACCTTCTGATTGTTACCTATACCAAATATTTCATGCCTGCTTTGGGGAGAATTTTAATTATTATAATGCAAAGTAACAAAGAAGTTCCTATTGCGTCAAGGAAAACATCTTATGAGAAATTACCAATGTAATTTGAGTCTAAAACCACATCGAGTTACATTTATGTCAAAAATTATGTTGAGTTCATTATTGCTATAGTAGTTGCAGAGTTATATTGCAAAGTCATCCACCACAATAACCACAATAGCAATAAAAATTCCGTCAAACTCTCGTGAGATTTATTTCGCCACCAGAGGAACTCTTTTGTACAGTTGCTTGAAGAGAATTAAACGTATCGAAAAAAATTACACATGAATTTTTGAGTAATTGGAGATTTTAAAAATTTGATATAGGGAAATGGTCAGCAAATATCGAAGTAGATATTGCAAAAACATAACGATACAGAAAAATCAATGATGTATTAATCAACAAGGAGAATTCGTAGGTCACTTATAGTTTTCAAAATATTCTATACTGTCAGATGTCAGTGGACCAGATGTGGAAATCAGACCTATTACCATATGCATCGTATACAGCTTATGCATCATATGTATGAATTTCAGCTCCAGGAACTTCCTTGGATATCTTTACTAATATTATAAACGCGAAAGTTTGTATGTATGGACGGATGTTTGTTACTCTTTCACGCAAATACTAATGAATGGATTTTAATGAAACTTTACAATAATATAGTTTATACATCAGAATAAGATATAGGCTATAATTTATATACATATTTTATGTATATCTCTCTGAACGCCTGCTACGCCTTCAGCCTATTCTACGTAGATGTAGTCGCGGGCAGCAGCTAGTATGTTTATATACCCAAATCTCGCATGTCGACTATCTCATCCAATAGTTCTGGAACTTTTTTTTAATCTTGAGGATAGTTTCAAAGCATACTCTAGCGATTTGGGGAAGACAGGGTTATGTTGGATTCCTACCAACTAAAATTCACTCAGCGACCACCTCCAGTGATTTGAGCTGGAGTCCTACGCACTCAACTATTTACCTAACTCTGGAGTAAGTTAAACTCCTTAAAGGCTTTACCATAAACTTTTCGCTGTCATCAGATACAAAACGCTCTATCACCTCGTTACTGGCAATGCTCGTGACGATGTTATACTTCGGTAAGGTGATCAGGATGTCCCTTATATTTACGATCGATGAGGCAAACGGTTCTCTAGTGCAAAATTATACCACAGACTACCCCCAACAGATGATGATGATTCAACGGGATGACAGCTGCACGCAAACAGTTCCGATGATATTATATTAGCTACTGCTCATCTGCAAACGCGCGGCCCAATCAAAGGTGCTCTACCATCTCATCAAACAAAACTTTCCCAAAAGGCAGGCAACGCATTTGTAAGCCCTCGGGTGTTGCAGGTGTTCATGGGCGGCGGTAATCACTTACCATCAGGTGAGCCTCCTGCTCGTTTGGCCCATTTCCCCATTAAAAAAAAACAGTAAATCTAACAGTTTAATAGAATAAAATCGGTAGCAATGATGCAGAAGGAAAGAAAGGCCGCCTGGTACGAAAGTCGGCAGCGCGGGCGCGGCGGTGACGTCACATGACGCGCACGCGGCGCGCGCGTGCTAGTCACGCCCACCGCTACTTCACACGACGCAGACTAACAACCGGCCAGCATTAAATACACTCTTTCCCCGACCGGTTCGCACTGGATTTCCGTTTAGACGCTTGCCAACAACTCTGCTTCGATTTAATTTCGTTTGATCTGTAAATGCATTTGATGACTGCGATCTGATGTTGTTTCAACAATGGTCCCATTGCATTTTTATTGATACCAAGTGCTTATATGTTTGGTACGTTACGTGTTGAAATTAATTCTTGCTACTAGTGGCTAGACTCATGATTAACACCATAGTTTTATCTCATGATATATGATCCTTGTATATGTTTTATTAATACTTATTCTTATTTGATTCTTGCTATAAAGTTATTTACACAAAATCTATTTAAACAATCAGTGGGTTTCCTGTGAAATTTATTTTAGTCATAATTAAAGTTTGCTGGCGTTAAGTTTAGATTTAAGTTTTTTTTAGTTTTAACAAAACTTGTGTTATTCGCATTGTATTTTGGTCCTTTATAAAATTTTTTTTCATCTATCTATCCTGTTAATAGTAAGAGAAGGAGCTTGTTCTTTTTGCGTTTTAACTTAGGATTTGAATAATTATTACAAGGTTAACAAACAAGGTCAATTTCGCAATAAAATTAATTCTTACTATTCAGCTAAAGATACACACGTCCCGCGCTAGCCGTTGCTATACTAGGAATGATGTTAAAATTAGAAACATTGAGACTGGACGGAGGTCGAACCTACGTTAATAAAATTAGCGCGTCAGTATCAGAAGTGGTTGCCCCACTGATGCGTTCGAGTTGTTACTGTTACATAGAACTAAATGATAGTTTTTGCGGTGAAATTAGCGAAATCACTTTGTAAAAATAAACATATACCTAAGTCTAATCAAAATGATTTTCGAATGCAAATTAGGGAAAACTGTCGAGTCGATCTTAATCGATCTTGATCTTTTCGACTCACGGTGACTGTTTTCTATAGGGTGATTTTTAATGTACATTATTTTGAAGATAACAACGGTGATGTATTTTATTGTACATTTCCCATATCAAAAAAAAATTTGATAAGAAATTATTTTAAACAGTATTTTAAGCACATTCCACGCACGGAGGTAGAAATTTTTAAAAATGAAGAAGATATGCAGAAAGCCATAATTCGTATAATACATAATATGTTCCACATATCTTGTCAGATATAGGTACATAAAAATATGGTATACGCTCATATCGACAATGTCAATCACATAATAGTCGCTGGACAGCAATCTAACATTGTTGCAAAATATCTAAACGGTATCGAACTAGTATTGATATTTACATTTGTGTCGACAAAGCTGTCGTGAATCTGATAAGCCTTTGTACTTATATCATTTGCAGGCGAATCACTATCGGCAGATGTTGTTATGGAAACTACGCAGTTTTACACAGCAGCCTCGGCTGTTGCACGAATGGGCAGGCCCGTCCGGGTAAGTACCACGACCACACAGAAGACCAGCGAAAAGTGGAAGTATGACAAATACTTTCGCGTTTCGTCTGGTGAGTGAGGTAGCCGGAGCCCAATTTTCAAAAGGTTGTCAACGCATCTGTAACCCTCGGGTGTGGCAGATGTAAATGGGCGGCGGTATTCACTTAACATCAGGTGTACCGTCTGCTCGTTTGTCAACTTTTCGGCAAGTTTCAGTAGCGCGATCACAGCTAGCCCAAAGTACTACGGCACAGAACGAATGGGCAGGCTCATCAGGTAAAATACCACAGAAGGGCGGCCTGAAGTGATAGTATTATACTTCAGCGTTTAGTATAACGAGTCTGGTAACCTGAGCCACCTTTTTTATGGCTGGCAACGAATCTGCAAGTTAACATAAGGTGAACCGCTCACTCGTTTGTTATCTTTTCACATAAAAAATATGCACTAAAACGCTGATGCAGGATGCAGTCCGTGACGTGAAAAATCTTCGATTCGTTCAAAGCCTTACACATTTTCGTTGGTATCAGCTTTCATAGATTCCTCGTCAGTGTATTTTCTTTCGAAATACTATATTTTTTCTTCTTTTCGAAATAAAAGCATCTTCAAAATAAAGTTACCATGTGTCACGGTATAGCGTCATAATTTGTTTGAAGCGTCGTGAATTTAAAAACAAAAGTAAACAAAAGTATGGCGTTTACTTTTGTTTTTTAAATCAGTAAAATTGTATTATTTCATCACATATTACTCATGTATGATCATACATTTAACATATCATGTGTAATATGCAGGTAAATACGGTACACTTTTTGGTAACCAGTTAATTAAGTAATATTTCGTAATTCCCTGTACTTTGCCGTTGCATAGATGGCTTCGGCTCATCGTATCGACCTAAAGTAGATATACTTTTGTCAAGTGGGATAATCGCCGTCGTAAATTCGTAATGGAGGGAATCGTACTTGGGTAAGTCCGGGTGGACGAGCCTACCCTTTCGTGCAACAGCCAAGGCTGATGCGTGGCCCTACCACATTTACCACACCCCACATGTTGTGCATGCCAAAAGTTCAATTTCCAACTTCTGTCAACACGTTTGTTTAATGCATTCCTGTTTGAGGCTACACTTGCACAGATAAGGTATATCGCAGTGCAGCATGTTCTGAACATATGACTAATTTGCCTTATCTCATGACCGCTGCATGCAAACTCCGTTCGTTTGCGTGTATTTTTAGTTTTGATTTGAATATTATCGTGTCGTTCCATGTGGAAAATTCTCGAAGGTTTTCCTCGGAGATTACGCGTTATTAACTGCAGCCGAGTGTTTTATCATTACGTGCATTTAACACGCAGAGATTTGATTTGCTTAATTTTGAATTGATAGAAGTGAATTTTAGCATTTTTAACTAGCTTTGTTCGTTTTTTCTTAAAGAGTCGTACTTTTTCTCATTTTTACAAATTTTTTATTAGCTATTTAATCACTATAAACAATGTTGAACACTAGCATTATTTTCGTCATCAAATCAGAACTGAAGACATACGTGTCCATATTGTATTGTTAAATATGGAAAAAGTTGTATGTGGGTACTGATTCTGATGTACCCACGTAGAATTTATACTTAATAACTAAAAATGTTATCCGCTGTGCCAGTAATCTTTGTTTGTGAAAAAGACATTAAAAGCAGTTGAAAACGGTTTAATTGAATAACTTGGAATTATAGGAAAATGTCAAAAGGCTGTTATTGGTTCCCATCGTAACACCGTGAAGTTGATTGCAACTAACTTTTTGGTTGTCGTTTGTGATTTTTTCCAACTGCGTCAAAAAGAAGTCATTCAAAAACTTCCTAAATTAGTTTCATTCACCGCATATAAGACAACTGCGTCACGATCACCGGATCATCCCGTGACCGAATTAACGCAACGCGATTTCCTATCGTCATGAATCGCACGGAATTGGACGGTGCGGTGCATCATACGCCCGCCGTGTGATCGACGGCATGGCGGGAAAGGAGCGGGAAAACGTCCGATGCACCGTCGTTGCGTCACGCGCCACGCGGCCGCCGCGTGATTGTGACGGATTCGCGCGCCGTCCCGCCCGGCCGAGGTTCTGCGTTCGAAATTCGAACTGGTTTCGCGTGTGCCAGCCTTTTTTACATTTTTTTTAAAGCATTCGGTGTTCTCTATTCAATTGAACACGCTATAAGTTCTATTGAATTGTGGTTCAGTGTATTCGTTGTTTTTTTTTGGTTCGAATGTCTTGCGATCTTTGGCTTATTATAATAAAAATCCATTTATCTAATCTCACGATTTTATAAACAGGTCTAGCAACTCAGCAGAGATCCAATAGTAGCGACTCCACTATTAAAGAAAAATGCAGATGGCTGCGATCGAAGAATGCATCGATATAACCTACTTACATCTTTAAATCCTATAACGCGTTTGGCGCGTTAAGTTAAGAGGACCAAATCTATAGTTACAAGATCCGTGTAAAACCATGTCTTTTAATAATTTAAAAAAATTGACGAATCTGGCGTCGTCTAATTAATAAAGAAATCGTGTCGCTAGAATTCAGAAGGTGAATGTAAAGTAAAGTAAAGTAACAGCCTATACATGTCCCACTGCTGGGCAAAGGCCATCCTCTATACAGAGGGTATCAGGGCTTAGTCCACCATGCGGCCGCACTGCGCATTGGCGGACTTCACATATCTTCGAAATATATTTTTTTTGTTATTATTTCGAAAATATGCAGGTTTCCTCACGATGTTTTCGTTCACCGCGGAGCTTGTGATAAGTCAGCACTTAAAGTTAAAAACTTCATTGGTGCCGGCACGGGGGATCCAACTCAGGTTGCTCGAGTATAATGAATTAAAGGCGAGCTCCCGGACACTGAGCTATCACGGCAGCAAGGTGAATGTGTGGTGAAATAATTCAATGCTTTCCATTTGTAATTATGATACATTATCGCTTTAATAATAATTACGTAGGTGTACATGATGAAAAAGATAAAAAGTAATGTAGCAATTTAAATTTGATATCTCCCACTCCACGATAAAGGGATTGTAACGACTGTTATACAAAAATAATACACCGATTGAAATCATTATGTTTCTATATCATTATTAAAACATTTATTATGGGATCCAAAATCGAATAATAACAATGCTGACCTTCCTTTAGTCGCTTATCGCTAATTGTTATAAAGATAAAAGCGACCGATATAACATAACTGATTTCTAAGAAATATTTTTTTACAAAATTCGTCAACAGAAATTAGTTAAGTACAAGTAAAGTATTAATACCACGTAATACAAATAATTCACGTATTTAAAATTCTGGTTGCATTACTGCGCCAGTGAAAACACTTGCGCATTTATAAAATTAATTTTGATTGTAAAATTGGAATGATTTCAATACGAAAATGTAATGAATGGGTTATGTACCATAAAGTGTAGTAACAAAGGCGAGTAATTGCGCGTTACAATATTCAGCTATGTATGTATGAGTGTGTGTGTTTTCATTGGCGACCTTGAGACACATCGCTTTG